TAAAAACAACAGTTAAACAAAAGATAGAAACAGTTAAAACACATACACAGGAGGGTCAGTTTAATTTTTTTTTAATTTCATTCATTTATACCTCGCTTTTTACCTCAATGGGGACCCAGAGTGGTTTGCTTTGTTTTCCTCCATTTTATCCTCACAACAACCCTGCGAGGTAGATTAGGCAGAGAGAGTGTGACGAGAGGCTGTGGCTCAGTAGCAGAGCATCTGCTTGGCATGCAGAAGCTCCAGGTTCACTCCCCGGTGTCTCCAGCTAAAAGGACCAGGCAGTAGGTGACGTGAAAGACCTCTGCTTGGGACCCTGGAGAACGGCTACCAGTCTGAGTAGACTGGCCTTGATGGACCTGATTCAGTCTGATTCAGTATAAGGCAGCCTCATGTGTTCATGTGTCACCCAGTGAGTTTCTGGAACACGAGAGGGGATTGGGAACACCAAATGAAAAGAGATAAGTCTTCATCTGCTGGTGGAAGGTGATGATCAAGGGGGACAGACAGATCTTCCTGGGAAGGAAGTGCCATAATTCTGATGCCACAACCGACAAGACTAGAGTTGCCATGTCTCTTCTGGGCACGGGTGAGGGATGGGGGGGTAGGGTTGGCAGATCTGGGTTGGGAAACTCCTGCAGATTTGGGGATGGAACCTGAGGAGGACAGGGACCTCGGCGGGGTACAATGGCATAGCGTCCACCCTGTACAGCAGCCGTTTTCTCCAGGGGAACTCATCTCTGTAGTCTGGAGATGAGTGGTGATTCCTGGGGAACCCCGAGGTCCCTCCTGGAGGCTGGCACCCTAGACCAGGCCCTTAGTCAGATTGCCACCCATCTAGCTCAGGTGGCAAGGGTTCCCAAAGCAGGGCCCCTGAAGATGACCACAGCGATCGGGTTGACCCTACCGTAAGGATTTTCTCACCATCCGAGCTCATTTGTTTATCAAAGAAGAAGACGTTTTCATCTGCGTAGGTCGTTTCACTGGCGTAGGTTGTTCATCAGTGTAGGACATTTTCCTTAAATGGTTGTAGGCTTTGTGTTTCGAACAGCTGTACGATGGGCGGAAGAAATCCGTTGGGGAAGCCTTTGCCGTGCCTGCAACTTTCCTGGTTGATTTTCCGTCTCCAGATAGGCAGAAAAGGTCTTTTTCGCCAAGAGAGCATGGCCTGCTGGATTAAGCCCCCCAACCCACCCCCAGGGTTAGATCTGTCCATCGTCCATTCTGTGGCCTTCAGTGGCACCCCAAATTAGAGATGAGCACATTTTCCCCTGTTCTTTCATTGCCTCACAGATTTCAGTTTGAGGAGGAGATACCGCTTGTCTTCCGCCAGTGACTGCTCCACTCCCCCCTGTTCTTTCATTGCCTCTCAGATTTCAGTTTGAGGAGAATTCTGACATGTGAGGATGTATTGCTTGTCTTCCGCCAGTGACTGCTCCACTCCCCCAGCCCCCAGATTCTTACTACCTGTTTGCCCCTAGCCAGGAGTCAAAAAGGCCAGCACACCTTCCCTCT